AGGGGGGCCTTGGCATCATGTGCTCTAAATGGATGAATATCGCCCTCCTCTCCCGCTGGCTTAGGCGAATCTCGCAAGGGCACGGTGGACTTTGGCTTGACATCATCCGGAACAACTACTTGCGCGGACAGCCCCTCGCCTTTTGCCAAAAGTCTGGAGGCTCTTAGTTCTGGCAGTCGATTGTCCAGCTTCTTCCGGTTCTCCGTATCGGGACCTCCATCTCGGTGGGCTCTGGAGCATCGACGCTGTTCTGGTTTGATCGTTGGGCCGGGGACACCCCCTTCGCGGCCCGCTTCCCTGGCCTCTTCTCCATCTCCGTCGACCCCGTGATTTCTGTTGATAGGGTCCTTCTTGACTTAGTGCACCTTACTTTCCGGCGGGCCTTTGGCCCCATGGAATCCGCCGCCTGGCGTGAGTTGCTTGAATGTATTGCTCTTCACGAGCCATTGGTGGATGATGGCCCCGACCTGGTGCGTTGGCGCCTTGAGCCTTCGGGCCAATTCTCCACCAAGTCGCTGTACGCGGCTATAGCACCTTCCGCCGACCCTCTCCCCCTTTCGATGGTTTGGTCCATCCGCCTGCCCCTGAAGATCCGTATCTTCATGTGGCAATGGATTCGTGGTCGGATCCCGTCCGGGGTGGAGGTGCGCAAGCGAAATGGCCCGGGGTCAGGCATCTGCCCGCTATGTGGCGTTCCGGAAGACTCGAACCACATTTTCTTCTCCTGCGTTTCCGCCCAGTTCCTCTGGAGCTGTTTTCGTGAAGTGGTCGGTGAAGATTGGTGTCACACCAACTTCCCGGACTTATTTGCCGAACTCCAGATGTCCCCTACGACCTATCGCCACATTAGGTGGCTTGAGATTGGGGTCCTCGCCTGGACCCTCTGGATTGGTGTTACACCTGTAGGGATTCCAACAACCCTCGATTCAAATGTCTCCACGATGAACAATTCATGAATCCTGCACACGAATAACAGTTGACAATTGTCTTTTGCATAGACACGATTAACATTTGTCCACCCAGATTTATTCGTAACATCTTTCACTCAAGAGTTCCTTACCATAGACTGAAACCGTTGCACGAATGTGATAATAAGCCTACAAACTAAGCCAGAACAAGTTACAAGCTTCCTGTGAGTAGATGGACAATGGATAGTACTCCCTCCGTTTCTAAATATAAGTCTTTTTAGAGATTTCAATAAAAAATAACACACGGAGCAAAATGAATTAATCTACACTCTAAACTACGTCTATATACATCCGTATGTAGTCCATAGTGGAATCTTCAGAAAGACTTATATTTAGGAACGGAGGGAGTAGATGCAAAAGCAGGGTCATCGAGTCATACTGCCTCGTCTTACAGCAGCACACACAGTTGGTGAATAGAATAGATATTTAGGGAACCTTTAAGACACTGGACATAAGCATATTGCTAAGTTTACATTTACCTGCACTATTATATATCTTTTTAATTTCACTTTGGATTTTCGTGCAAAAATTAATGGTTAGTTGTTGACTGTCTAAGCAGTCCATCAACATAGACAATAAACAAGCATGTGAAAAGAAGACTACATTATGATGTAATTCTCTCCTAAATTGAAATGACACAATGTTTGACATCTCGTAAAATTTCTGACAGAGGACATCAACGGCCTTGCAAAAATACCACGAATTGTGCTAAATCAGCCTAAAACTGCCCATCTTTTGAAAAATTCATAGAAGCATTCAGATCATAAAAAAGGTTGCATATCTTAAATAAAAGACGTATTCAGTCTAGGCCATGTTTCTGTAAGCACAGTAAAGCAAATGATAGTTTAAGTGATGCCAGACGAAATATGCAGCTATTTAGTATTGATCTCATTGCCAACAAACTGACTAACTCGATAGCCAGGACTTCATACCTTCAGCATCATAGATATGTATGAATTGAAATCTGAATGATCAGCGAAGTTACTCCCTAGGGCGACGTTGGGTCGAACCCTGGCGCCCCTAGAAAGGTACCCCACTCGTCGACTGCCTTGCGGCTGCTGTCACCGAGGTCTTCCACGGTGGCGGCGGGCCCAGTTCCGATGGTGCTTGGGGAGGGTGGAAGATTGTGGCGGCGTCTCGCTGGTGGTGGTTGCTGGGGTGGCCTTCGTGGCGCTTATAAGAGTGCGGTGGCCGGGGAGGATTAAGGTCAGGCCGACTCCTCGCCGCCTCGAATGTGATGGCGGAAGCGTCAGGCAGGGCGAGGAGATCGGAGATCGAGGTTAGGCCGGCTCCTTGTCGCCTCGGATGTGACGGCGGCGGCTAGGCACCGGGGCGCCGAGGAGTTGCCGGCGTCGGCCAGTTCTCGGGGCGCCGAGGAGTCGGGCAGGGCAAGGAGACCGGAGAGAAGAAGTGGACTGCGGCGCAAGGACGCGAGGACTGCAGGCATTGTCAGGATCGCACGTCGAGGGCTTGCCAACGAACACGTTAATGGGCTCGCCCAAGTACATTGTGAGAGGTGGGCGATGGGCGGTACATAGGAGTGGTGGGATGAGGTGGGAGTGAGGCAAGACTACCAACTCAGATGTTAGAAGTAGAGATTCCAACGACCACCTTGCACACCTTATTCTTTTCTCTGGGTTGCTATCGCATTGATACGAAAGGTTACATTTTTTTTGAGACACATGAAAGGTTACATGAGCGTTTTACTTAAAAGCTGATGTGGTGGTGAATAATTGGGCCAGGATTCTGGCCTGGGCCCACCACTGATGAAATTCAGGGGGCCGAGAGGATTATGCCACAGTCTATTCGTAGATGTAGCACTATCGCTAGAGAGATCCTTCTTCCAAACCACGTTTCCTCGTGACATGCAAGATGCAACAGAAAAGGCTACGAGACTGTCAAATGCTCTCGCAAAGCGGTGCAATTCAAACTTGTCAACAACCATATCATGTCAGTTATACGAAGAAAGATAAGCCGATTTCCACATAATTTCACCGTCCACTTTTATCAAAAAAAAAAAATCACCGTCCACTACAGCGTCCGCACGCACAAACACACACGAAAAGACAAAAGCTGAACTGTGACTCTGTGAAGGGAAGTGATTGAATTCCCTCAAAAAAAAAAAAGGGAAGTGATTGAAGGTGACATACTGACATGGGCGGGTGCGGGCGATATTTTCACCATAAACCAATGAGCCAACCTAAAGTGCAAACTAGTCTCAGCTCTGAACTTCTGAAGCTTGCTGAACTGGAGCAAGGTTTGAGAGCAAGACGGGCCGGCGGCGCCAATGGCGGCGGCGACGGGCGTTCACCGTCACCACTGGTCGGGCTGGAGGATTGGGAGAGGTTCCCAGTTCGTTCCTCTGAAAGTTATGCACACCAATGGCGGCGGCGCAGCTCGTTCGCTCGGCCTCGGCCTCTCCCCAGCCAAACGGGCGCCGCTGGTATTTCTCTTCCTCCTGTTCGTTGACGGCGCCCTGTTTGCCGCGTCTGCCACCACGGACACCATCCTCCCCGGCGAGGGCATCTCCGGGAACGAGACCGTGGTCTCCAGGAGCGGCGGCTTCGAGCTGGGCTTCTTCTCCCCAGGCCCCGGCATCCACTACTTCCTGGGTGTCCGGTTCAGGAATATGTGCCACAGCCCTACCTTCTGGCTCGGGAACAGGGTCGTCATCACCGACCTGCCCGCCGCGTCGCTGGAGATCTTCGCCGACAGTCTCTGCATCAAGCAGAATGGAGCCAGCCTCTGGTGCACGCCGTCGCCGGGCGGCAATGTGTCGTCCGCCGCCGTGGCGGTCCTCCTCGACAACGGCAACCTGGTGGTGAGGGACCAGGCAAACTCCTCGCCGGTCCTGTGGCAGAGCTTCGACTATCCCAGCGACGCGCTGCTCCCCGGAGCGAGGCTCGGGTTCGACAAGGACACCGGGAAGAACGTATCGCTGACGTTCAAGAGCTTCTCGCACAACGGCAGCCTCAGCGTCGACGGGACCCGCAGGAACGGGTTCGTGCTCACCACCGACGGCCATGCCAACCGCGGCACCTTCCCGGACTGGATGGTGTCCTCTCAAGACAATGGCAGCTCACTGGTGCTGAGCCACACGGAGGGCCCAAACAGTACCGAGTTCTTGCAGTTCCATCTGGGGCAAGTCAGCTTGATGCGGTACTCGGAGCCGGATCCGGCCGCAAACGGCACCGGTGGTTGGGTCGCTCGCTGGTCCTTCCCTTCCGATTGCAAGTCCGGCGGGTTCTTCTGCGGTAAGTTCGGCGCCTGCACGAGCAGCGGGAAGTGCAGCTGCTTGGACGGGTTCACGCCGTCGTACCCGATTGAGTGGGGGCTAGGGTACTTCGTCACCGGCTGCTCGAGGTCTCTCCCGCTGAGCTGCGAGACGGAGCACGACGATTCCTTCGTCCCATTGGACAAGGTGCAAGGACTTCCTTACAACGCCCAGGACGAGGTGGCCGGAACCGACGAAGACTGCAGAGCAGCTTGCGGGAGCAAATGCTACTGCATCGCCTACTCGTATGGCCATGGATGCAAGCTATGGTACCACAACCTGTACAATCTGAGCTTGGCTGCTAGGCCTCCGTACAGCAAGATCTACCTCCGTTTGGGCTCCGAGCCCAGGAGCAAGAAAGGCTTGCAAACAAGAGGAATTGCATTATTGGTCACTGGATTGATATGCTTTGCTTCTTTGATACTGATATCGATGCTGCTATGGAGATTCAGGAGGAATTCGTTTGCCGCCGGGAAGTTTGAAGTGGAAGGCCCTCTTGTGGTCTACACTTATGCACAGATCAAGAAAGCCACGATGAATTTCTCTGATAAAATCGGCCAGGGGGGATTCGGAAGTGTTTTCAGGGGAACACTGCCGGGATCAACTGCCATCGCTGTGAAGAATCTCAAAGTAATCGGGGAAGCAGAGAAGCAGTTCAGAACAGAGGTGCAGACACTTGGAGCGATCCAACATAATAAGCTGGTCCGTCTGCTGGGATTCTGTGTCAAAGGGACAGAAGGTTGCTGGTGTATGAGTACATGCCAAATGGCTCCTTGGACGCTCATCTCTTTAGAGAGAAATCTGGTGTGTTGAGTTGGAATGTTCGGTACCAAATTGCACTGGGCATCGCCAAGGGTCTCGCCTATCTGCACGAAGAATGTGAGGACTGCATCATACACTGCGACATCAAGCCTGAGAACATACTGCTCGATGCAGAGTTCTGCCCCAAGATTGCCGATTTCGGCATGGCGAAGCTGCTTGGGAGAGAATTCAACTCGGCGCTGACCACCATGCGAGGAACCATGGGATACCTCGCACCAGAGTGGCTATCCGGGCTGCCCGTCACCAGGAAGGCCGACGTGTACAGCTTCGGCATTGTGCTCTTCGAGATCATCTCGGGGAGAAGGAGCACCAAGATGATGCAGTTTGGGAGCCATCGGTACTTCCCTCTCCACGCGGCTGCTCAGGTGAACGAAGGGGAGGTTCTGTGCCTGCTGGATGCTAGGCTGGAAGGCGATGCTAATGTGGAGGAGCTGGAGGTCATCTGTAGGGTCGCCTGCTGGTGCATCCAGGACCAGGAGAGCGATAGGCCATCAATGGGGCAAGCTGTTCGCATGTTGGAAGGTGTCGTAGACGTTGATATGCCTCCAATACCAACTTCGCTTCAGGACCTTATGGAGGGTGATAGAAGTGATACATATTCTGATTCCTGAAGGAGGGTGCTAGAGAATTAGTCACTTATTATTGAGTTGAGAACTGAATCTGTGTTCTCATTTGTTTTTAGTTCCAAATTATAAGCTATCTACTATTAAAACAAACAACGCATTTGTACACTGTGCAAATTTCCTCGATTGATTGTTGTAGGGATTCAGGGAGGTTCCATTATGAAGAAACAATTTCTTATAGCGAAAATGCCGAATCGAGGCCGAGCTCCATCAAGGCCTTAATTTTGAAAATTTCAAATTCATACTTTTACATGTCAGGATTAAAAATAAACTACCAGAAAAGCGAAATTCTTTGTGTTGGAGGGGATGACAATATTTTGCAAATCTATGCTGACATTTTCAACTGTCAGATTGGTCATTCAACTGTCAGATTGGCCACTTCCCTATGAAATATTTGGGGGTTCCAGTCAGTTATTCACCAATTCGAGGGGTTGATTGGGATTTTTTGGAAGCCAAGTATGTTCGTAGATGTGATTCTAGATTAGGCAGTAATGCATCTTCGGGGGGTAGGCTGACGCTGCTGAATGCTAATATATCCAATATCGCTTATTATTACATGTCTATGTTCCTCCTGTCGAAAACCATGATAGACAGGTTGGACAAACATCGAAGAAGATTTTTTTTTGGCAAGTGTCCAAAAAGAGAAAGCGCTACTATCTAGTGCGATGGACTCGTATCTGTAGATCGAAGGAGAAAGGTGGTTTGGGCGTGAAGGATTTGCATAAGCAAAACTTAAGCCTTTTAACTAAGTGGTGGTGGAAGTTGGAGACTAGAACTGGTCTTTGGCAGGAGATTATTAGAGCTAAATACCTTGGTAGAGACACGGTAGCCTCTGTCAAAACAAAGGTGAATGATTCGCCTTGCTGGAAAGCTATTATGAAGGTGAAAGACCTTTCTATGGCTGGTAGAAAAATCATTATTCGATCTGGGAATATAGCAAGGGTATGGGTCGATCCTAATGGTGATCGGAAACCATTTAAGGATCAGTTCCCTCAGTTATTCTCGATCTGCAACTCCCCTGAATGCACTGTGAAAAAATGCTGGGAGGCAGATCCTTTATCTTTCTTTCGGAGGAGATTAAATAATGTGCTCAAGGAGCAATGGCAGCAGATGGTTGTTGCTGCTAGAGAAAGCTGTGTATCTGATGAATCAGATAGCATTAAGTGGGGCCTGGGTCCCAAAAAAGTATTTACAACCAAATCGGTGTATTCTTTCTTGGAAAGGAACAACACATGGTGCAATTTTGGGTGGGTTTGGAAAGTTGGCATTCCTTAGATCAAAATCTTTATGTGGCAACTGTTCCAAGATGCTATCCTTATCCGGGATGTGATGAAAAAAAGAGGGTGGAAAGGAAGCCCGATGTGTTCTTTCTGTGGGGAGAATGAAACCTCCCAGCATCTCTTTTTTACCTGTCCTGTAGCTAAAGTGACCTGGAGAAGCGTTGCTTGCATGCTCGGCACTGATCTGTGCCCGAACAGCTTATGGCGGGCTTATTCCTGGTGTTATGTTTACTTTCCGAATGGGGAGATTTTCTACACTGTCGGCATAGCTGCGCTTTGCTGGGCTATTTGGACATGTCGCAATGGTGCTACATTCGAAAATAAACGTTTGAAAACACCTTTTGAATGATGCTTCTCTATGTGTACTTTTCTTGGTTATTAGGCAGGACTGTTGAAGCAAGAGGATGCGGTTGACCTGCGAGCAGGAGTGGACATGCTGAAGAACAGTGCGTCAAGGCTGATGCGCATCTGCGCTGCGAACAAGGACTGAGAAGCTCGCTGGAGAATTGCTGAAGGAAGTGGTGATGCGTCGTCAAAAGAAGATGTGTGCATCTGTTGGCTGTCTTTTGCATTTGCCTTATGTTTCATTCCTGGAGTCTCTCCCATGTGTGGGACTATTGTTTTGGTGCTCGTCTGTGAGCTGGCTGGGGGGGGGGGGGTTGCCCCATCTGAACTTTCTGCGTGATTTGGTGTCGCCGGGTTTTTGCCCTACAGTGGGTTATCTCGATGGCGAGTGTTCACAGTAGGTTTCCCGGCGATGCCTGAACCCGCTCTCCCCTCTCCCGTCTCATTCTGTGGACTTGTTGTTATTTCCATTATGTCGCAGTAATGGAAAGGGGTTATGCTCGGTTCAAAAAAAATACTTTTACATGTCAAAACAACATGAAAAATAGTACGCACTTCTTGGCACATGTGAAGGAAATATGCCCTAGAGGCAATAATAAAGTTATTATTTATTTCCTCATATCATGATAAATGTTTATTATTCATGCTAGAATTGTATTAACCGGAAACATGATACATGTGTGAATACATAGACAAACATATAGTCACTAGTATGCCTCTACTTGACTAGCTCATTAATCAAAGATGGTTATGTTTCCTAACCATTGACATGTGTTGTCATTTGATTAATGGGATCACATCATTAGGAGAATGAGGTGATTGACATGACCCATCCCGTTAGCTTAGCACTTGATCGTTTAGTATTCTGCTATTGCTTCCTTCATGACTTATACATGTTCCTGTAACTATGAGAATTGTGTAACTCCCGTTTACCGGAGGAACACTTTGGGTACTACCAAACGTCACAACGTAACTAGGTGATTATAAAGGAGTACTACAGGTTTCTCCGAAGGTACATGTTGAGTTAGCATAATTCGAGATTAGGTTTTGTCACTCCGATTGTCGGAGAGGTATCTCTGGGCCCTCTCGGCAATACTCATCACCTAAGCCTTGCAAGCATGTAACTAATGAGTTAGTTATAAGATGAAGTATTACAGAACGAGTAAAGAGACTTGTCGATAACGAGATTGAACTAGGTATTGGATACCGACGATCGAATCTCGGACAAGTAACATACTGATGACAAAGGGAACAACGTATGTTGTTATGCGGTTTGACCGATAAAGATCTTCGTAGAATATGTGGGAACCAATATGGGCATCCAGGTCCCGCTATTGGTTATTGACCAGAGATGTGTCTCAGTCATGTCTACATCGTTCTCGAACCCTAGGGTCCGCATGCTTAAGGTTTCGATGACAGTTATATTATGAGTTTATGTATTTTGATGTACCGAAGGTTGTTCGGAGTCCCGGATATGATTACGGACATGACGAGGAGTCTCGAAATGGTCGAGACATAAAGATTAATATATTGGACGGATATATTTGGACGCCGGAAAGGTTCCGGAGAAGTTTGGAGCCCCGGGAGGTTACCAGAACCCCCCGGGAGGTATATGGGCCTTATTGGGCCCATGTAGGAGGAAGAGAGAAGGAGCAAGGGAGGGGGGCGCGCCCCCCCAAGCCCAATCCGAATTGGGGAGGGGGGCCGGCCCCCCCTTTCCTTTCTCCTTCCCCCTCTTCCTATTACTACTACTAGTACTACTTCCTAATACTAGTACTCTTTCCTTCCCCATCCAAATAAGATAAGGAAAAGAGAGGGAAACCTACTTGGAGTAGGTTTCCCCCTCCTCATGGCGCGCCCCCCCCAGGGCCGGCCACCTCCTCCCTCCCTCCTTTATATACGGGGGTAGGGGGGCACCCTAGAACACACAAGTTGATCATTGATCGTTCCTTAGCCGTGTGCGGTGCCCCCCTCCACGATATTACACCTCGGTCATATTGTAGCGGTGCTTAGGCGAAGCCCTGCAACAGGAGAACATCAAGATCGTCACCACGCCGTCGTGCTGACGGAACTCCCCCTCGGCGCCTCTGCTGGATCGGAGATCGACGGTGCGTCATCGAGCTGTACGCGTGTCAAGAACTCGGAGGTGCCGGAGTAACGGTACTTGGATCGGTTGAACCGGAGGACGTACGACTACTTCCTCTACGTTGCGTCAACGCTTCCGCTTCGGTCTACAAGGGTACGTAGACAACACTCTCCCCTCATTGCTATATCATCACCATGAACTTGCGTGTGCGTAGGAAAATTTTTGAAATTACTACGTTCCCCAACAGTGGCATCCGAGCCTAGGTTTTATGCGTTGATGTTATATGCACGAGTAGAACACAAGTGAGTTGTGGACGATATAAGTCATACTGCCTACCAGCATGTCATACTTTGGTTCAGCGGTATTGTGAGATGAAGCGGCCCGGACCGACATTACGCGTACGCTTACGCGAGACTGGTTTCACCGTTACGAGCACTCGTCCTTAAAGGTGACTGGCGGGTGTCTGTCTCTCTCACTTTAGTTGAACCGAGTGTGGCTACGCCCGGTCCTTGTGAAGGTTAAAACGGAGTCTATTTGACAAACTATCGTTGTGGTTTTGATGCGTAGGTGAGATTGGTTCTTACTTAAGCCCGTAGCAGTCACGTAAAATTTGCAACAACAAAGTAGAGGACGTCTAACTTGTTTTTGCAGGGCATGTTGTGATGTGATATGGCCAAGACATGATGCTATATTTTATTGTATGAGATGATCATGTTTTGTAACCGAAGTTATCGACAACTGGCAGGAGCCATATGGTTGTCGCTTTATTGTATGAAATGCAAACGCCCTGTAATTGCTTTACTTTATCACTAAGCGGTAGCGATAGTCGTAGAAGCAATAGATGGCGTAACGACAACGATGCTACGATGGAGATCAAGGTGTCGCGCCGGTGACGATGGTGATCACGACGGTGCTTCGAAGATGGAGATCACAAGCACAAGATGATGATGGCCATATCATATCACTTATATTGATTGCATGTGATGTTTATCCTTTATGCATCTTATCTTGCTTTGATTGACGGTAGCATTTTAAGATGATCTCTCACTAATTATCAAGAAGTGTTCTCCCTGAGTATGCACCGTTGCGAAAGTTCTTCGTGCTGAGACACCACGTGATGATCGGGTGTGATAGGCTCTACGTTCAAATACAACGGGTGCAAAACACTTGCACACGCGGAATACTCAGGTTATACTTGACGAGCCTAGCATATACAGATATGGCCTCGGAACACGGAGACCGAAAGGTCGAGCGTGAATCATATAGTAGATATGATC